CCAAGGCATTGTCTTGGTCATTAGGTTATTGTACACTAGATTAAGCCTTAAATGGAAAAAGCAACATTGACATTTTTGCTTGAACTTTGCTTTATGTCAAAACAGCATCCTAGAGCCTTGAACCATATCTTATGCTGCAAACAAAATCCACTAATTAGAGGGGCCAAGAGGGTTGTATGCAGGGTGATAAGATGGCATGTACAAGCCTATAACCTCACTTCCACTCTCTTGCTTCAAGAAGAAGAAAAACTTGTCAAACACAAGGCATCTCACACATCTGATAAAACCAACAAAAACAAAGTTGTCAAACAAGTTTCATACACCCTAGCAAGCCAGAAACACGAGCTCTTATTCACTCAAACCTCCTTGTACACAAAATCACCATTTTTCTGCAAAACAGGGCAAGCCCTGCAGAACCACCTCCATCTCCACTTTCCCTCGTGCGTTTTGCCTCAAACTTGTTCCAATATCTTCCATTCAACTCACCTAAACTATTCCAGACCTTCATTGCCAACTTTAACTCCATTAATACACATTGCCATTTTTGTTTGGAAGCTTTGTAGGTTGAGTTCTGTAGCACGACTCAGGCTACTTCAAAACAAGCCAAGCATTGGGAAAGCTTCAGTGGACATCAGGCAAGCTCAAAAGAACCTCAAGCACCCTTGGAAGTTACTGCATTGTCCAGCTCGAGCTCAACTGAAACAGGTATTTCATGAACTTCTATCTACCTATTTAGGAATAGTTAGACTTAGGTTTGTGAATGAAAGATGTTGTATTCATAGCCCTGAAACCATACATGTGCTTAGTTTTCATTTATATTAATCGTGTTAGGAGAATTTTGTTCATGAACTTTCTGAAAAAACTAGGTTAAGAATTAGGGCCAGAGAAATTCTCTCTGGTCTTTGAGAGTTAGCTTAAGTTTTTTATATGGTTAGATTCGTTGTTTGATGCTCTACAAGTTTCATGTTATGTGTTTTGTCAAAAAAGCAAGGAATCAGGAGATACAGGTTTGAACTGAGCTAGGCGCGCGTTTATGTTGACAGAGGAAGAAGATGAAGTAGCTGGGCTGCGCCTGGCTACTTCCTGCTTTTCACACCCGTTTTTTCATTTTCACACCCCCCTGGCCCATTTCTTGTATATTTATCATTTTTGCTTTTTTATTTTTTCTCTGACTTTGATATTTTATTTTCAAGCATAAAAAATATTCTAAAAATATCTTCACATTTTTTTTCATTTATTAGATATTTTATTCTAATTTTTCCTAATGTAAACATGTTTAAATATTTTATATTCTTTTGTTAAAGCTTAAAAATAATACAAATAATACTTAATTAATTTATTTTATTGTTATATACATTTGAAAATATTTTCTTAAAATATATACATTTTGTAAATAATTTATTTTATTTTTTATACACTTAATATATTTAATATATATATATATATATATATATATATATATATATATATATATATATATATATATATATATATATATATATATATATATATATATATATATATATATATATATATCACTACGCCAAAAACGAGTTTTGGCACCGCTACATAGACAGCGCTTATGCAAAAGCGCTGTTGTAGGTATCCAAAAAAAAATACTTTAGACAGCGCTTATTAAAAGCGCTGCTATAGGCCTTATCAAAGGCAGCGCTTTTTCTCCCTAAGCGCTGCTATAGGGTTTTAAAAAAATTAAAAATTAAAAAATTAATAAAAGCGCCGCTAAAGGGTATGCTTTAGACAGCGCTTTCAAAAAGCGCTGCTAAAGGTGTAAGTCTAAAAGCGCTGCTAAAGGGGGGTAAACCTAAAGCGCTGCTAAAGGGGGGTACCTTTAGCAGCGCTTCTTGAAAGTGCTGCCTTTGTGTAAATCTAAAAGCGCTGCTAAAGGTGGGGTAAGCCTAAAGCGCTGCTAAAGGGGGGTACCTTTAGCAGCGCTTCTTGAAAGCGCTGCCTTTGGTTTGTTAATTTATTTCTAAACCCCTAACCCCTAAATCAGATTTCCAGATACACAAAATTAAACCCATATCGCTGTTCATCTTCTTCTCCATTCGTCTCCTCCCAAACTCCCCCTGTCTCACTCCATTACTCCCTTTGTTCCGTCATCTCTCCGATATAACTCCCTCTGGTAGTCATCCAACATCGCTTTTCCCCTGCAACTCGCCATCATTTCCCCTCCTCACCATAAACAAGCTTCCACCAAAACAACTTCATTCAACCGTTCCATCTTTCTTTTTTCAACTCACCACCGATTCACGCTCCTTCATCATCTGCTTATCCAATCCGCAGCTTTTTCGCAAACCCAAACGTGATTTGTAATCTCACTGCATTGATTCAGTCGCGTTATGATTTTGGTTCAGAACTTCTTTGTTTCAGAATGTTTATGGTTTGGTGCATTTTTACGGTAAGCTTCACGGTTCATGTTGATAACAATTTCAATTGGTTTCTCTGGTTTTTTTCCCCCGGTATTGATTCTAAATTAAGTTAACACTAGCATACAATATTATGAAGCTAAATGGAGGAATGCTAGCATATTAAAAATGCCGAAAAATACAGCTTTTGGTCTTGCCCGCAAGGTGTTCGATAAAACTCCTCAACCGTATCTCTTGATTCTTTTTGCTTCAATTCTTTCACTTCATGTGCTGAGTTGTTGTACTGTTGGCATTGTTGATTAGTGATCATTTGCGGTGTGTGAATTGACGGATAATTGTCGCTGTTACTACCGTTTTGCAACTCGCGCATCACGTGTTCGACAAAATGTTTCAACTGGTTTCTTTCCTCTTTTCCCTTCTGTTTTGATGTGCATTGTGATGCTGAATTTCTTTTGAATATGATTTGTATTTTTATGTGGCAGGTGAATTTGTTAGTTGTTGAAAATCAATTTGTTCAACACGTTGCGGTCAATGCTGTTGTCTTAATTTTAAAGTTTATGTTCACTTCAGTATGTTATATTCGTAGTGGTTTCTATGAGGTTATTCTAATTTTATGCTTATGCATAGACATAGTTTATGATATTTATGATTCCTTGTGATGATTTGCAGGGGGAAAATTGGGATGAATTCGTCCATTTGTTATGTTGTTCCTTAGAAATGGCTTGAAATCCTTCATAACTACTTTCAAGAGCTTCTGCTATAACCTTTAATTAAATTTATGTCTGCTCAAGGTGGTTGTCTTGAAGGCTTCTATGCAGATTATCATATTAACAACTCTTTAGGTGCCTCAACAGTGCTTCTGTTGCATGCTGACTGTATTTGTTTATTAGTGTTAGCCCGGTCTATAAATATAGATCCGAGGCTCATCACATGTAACAAGAATTCATTTGGTTATCAATAAATAAAATGAATTCTCAGGTTCTCTCTGATTCAAACACTGAACAACTATTCAAAATGCACATTTAGACATTTAGTTAATATATTGTTTTCACCTCTCATTGTGCAGGATCTTCCTGGGAGCAATGTTTAGTTAATATATTGTTTTCACCTCTAAGTTTCTGGGCACATATGAGTTTGACAGCTTGCCTTTTGACTGGGGAGAGAATTATAAGCTTCCAAATATTGCCGAGGTATTCAGCCTGCATAAATGATAGTTGTTCGAAAATGATATTCATAAAATCTTTTCTCTAAACCAAGGCTTCATCTAAATTGCTTTATGCTTAAAACTATATGTAGATTTTGTATTCTACCTTGATGTTGATCTCTAGTGTTTCTTTTCCTTTTTAGTTGATGAGAATATGACTGCGTATTGTATGTTTCTAGATGAAGTAAGTCCAATTTATGGATTCATTATGCTCTTGCTGCAAATGCAGAAAGATCTTGTTATATATGAGATGAATGTCCGTGCATTTACAATGGATGAATCTAGTGGATTGGATAACAACATTCGTGGAAGCTATCTTGGTGTGATTGAGAAGGTAACATCTTTGCTATCATTGGGTATTCAACTTAATAAGGTGTATCGATGTTTAGTGGTTGCATGCCACCTCCAACTTTAGGAACTATATTTGTGCTGTTTATTAATTACTATATGATTGGTGCTTACTATTTATTGTATGTCTTTATTTAAACTCATTTTGTTGCTTGCATATAAGATCCCACATCTTCTAGAGCTTGGTATCAATGCAGTGGAGTTGCTGCCTATCTTTGAGTTTGATGAGTTGGAATTGCAAAGGCGTCCGAATCCTAGAGATCACATGGTAAATTAGAAAAGTATTACGTTCTATTTTGAAGTCAAGGCTTCATAACGGACTTTTGTAGTGTGTACTGTATATCCCCAGTAAATAAAGGAATGGATCTTCTGCATTTCTCATTCTATCAATTTTCTCCATTACTATGGTATTGGGATTATTGAATAAAGCATGATAATGTGATATTAGACGAGCTTGAAATTTCCCCTATACACCCCAAAACTATAGAAAGGAGAAATATAGAGGATCCATTCCTAATAAACAAATATATAAAAACAATTGTATTCTTTCTGGCTGTATATCAATATCTATTTTTCTTTGATGAATGAAGAGATCAGAGTATGTAAGTGTGCACTTTTTACTAGTGATGAAATCTATCTACATTCATGATTTTGGTAACTTGAAGTATTATTAAGAATGTTTGCTGGTTTCAAGGCTATTCAATCTGAATTTAATGACTGTAGTTCCCTTTGTTCCCATGCACCAACCTCTTGCAAAACGGTGCATCTAACTTCTAAGAAAATGAGTAAGTGATTAGCTTGAATCTCAATCTGAATCTGCATATTATTATTATTTTTATTCAACTTGAGAGTCATGTAATTATTTTTGGCATTTGCTTTGACTAGTTATTCAAACTAAGAATAAATTTTTATGACAAGTTCAGAAAATTGTTGAATCTTTTTTGGCAAAGTCTAATTTTGAGTTGTGCGTTCACATTACTTAAATAAATTATTGAAAGCTTATGTTATGGTTCATTGTTTTAGATCACAGATATTGAAGTTGAGTCTTTTGATATTGTTAAATGGCCAAGAAGAACAAGAGCTGGTTTAATCTGGTGAAGAGCCTTTTCATATGGGACACACATTCCACACAAGAGAAGGTAATTTTACTTTTTAAAAACTAAATTCTTTTTTTGTTGTTGTAAGATTCTGTTTATTCTAATGAGAAAGAAGAAACTTGATTTCAGAAAGAGAAAAGAAGGAAATGGATATTTGGAAAGCTAAAAACCAAGAAGTTACCTTCAATTACAGCTCCAGCAACAACATCAAATGAAGCTGAGGAGGAGGGAAAAACCAAGCATTCTCAAGTTGTTATGCTTAATGAAGTTTCACAATCTGGTTATCAAAAAGATCAAGATGGCTCAGAAGAATCTGAACCTGTTGAAACTAGGAATGGTGTTCCTTGATCAATATATCTGTGCCAGAGAGAGATTCAAGAATTTGCAGCCATCAAAATTCAAACTGCTTTTAGGGGCTACCTTGTGAGTTTCTCCAATCTGTCTTGTTACTTAATCTTTACTGCTAAAGTTTTTGGATCTGGAATAGTCTTTTAAAATCAGTACAAGTAATTGAATTATGAATCTTATTAGAAGAAGGTTATATATCAAGGTTGCAAGTAACCATCAAATGTGGCTAATGCGTCCTCCATACCAATACTCAGACATCAAAAACCCCTTAAGGATCTAGTGATTTCTCAAATTCAACTCTAGTTAAACAAATAGAGAAAACTGTAAGAGTAAGATGTAATGGCAATTAATATGTAGAAGAAATCAAGGACAAGTGATAGTATTGTCATGTTCATTACAGGCAAAGAAGGCTTTGAGGGCATTGAAAGGAATAGTAAAACTTCAAGCGATTATTCGTGGGCGAGCAGTGAGACGCCAAGCTATGAGTACTCTCAAGAGCTTGCAGTCCATTGTAAGTATTCAATCAAAGATATGTGCAAGGAGACTCCAAATGGTTGAAGGAAGATGGGATTCTGTTGAAGATGAAGAGACTCTTTATTCTAAAGACAAGATCATTAGGGTGAGCAAAGCATGGCATGTTACATTATTTCATTACCTCAATTCACATTCCAAACATAAATTTGTATGATTTGAAACATGAGTTTTCAAATTTTTAGATGGACTCAAACAGCGAAAGAAAGTGGGATGACAGCACTTTATTGAAGGAAGAGGTAGATGCCTGTTGCATGATCAAGAAAGAAGGCATTATTAAGAGAGAAAGAATAAAAGAATACACATTTAATCATAGAGTAAGCTCCTAGCTCTTTCATGTCATAAACTGTTTCATTACTTTTTCCAACCAGTTTCTCAAGTTGAACTAATTTACACAAATCCCTCAGAGGTCAGCAGAGTCAGAAAGAAGTAAAGTGAACGGAAGATGGAGGTACTGGCTAGAGCAATGGGTAGATACACAGCTTTCTAAAAGCAAAGAACTTGAAGGAGGGTATGAATGGATTTGGATGTGGCATAAAAGTTGCATACTAAAAGATCACGATGTTTTTGATACTTGGCCTTGAAGATGATAATTTGAAGATGAAGAAGCCTGGGAATGAAGGATGAAGTTATCGAGACCAAAGGCTTGGTCTTGAAGCAAACTTGAAGAGACTTTTTTAGAATTAGGTCTAGAACCAAATCTTTGTATAATTTTCCTTGAAATTTGTAAAGGATGACTTTTCTTGCATTGATGTATTAGTGCCTTTGAATTTGGAGCGTCCTTGCATTTTGTACACTTTGTAATTAATGGTAAAAAACTCCAAGTATTCAAGCCAACTTTCTTCTCCAAATTGCATACTCATTTCTTTGATCTTGAAGTATCATTGATAGAATGATGATAAATATTGTGGACTTTGATGATGAATGTATTTGAAATTTAGCTTCACAATTCGAACTTGAATGATGATGAATAATGTTGAATAGCAATTGAACTTAAATTTTAAAAAACAAATAAGGAAAAGCACTGCTAAAGGGGGGGGGGGGGGGTAATAGACAGCGCTTTTCATGAAAACGCTGTCTAAAGTGATTGAAATTTTTTTTTAAAAAAAATAAGGAAAAGCGCTGCTAAAGGGGGGGTAATAGACAGCGCTTTTCATGAAAGCGCTGTCTAAAGTGATTGAAAAAAAAATTTAAAAAAATGAGGAAAAGCGTTGCTAAAGGGGGGGGGGGGGTAATAGACAGCGCTTTTCATGAAAAGCGCTGTCTAAAGTGATTGAAAAAAAAAATTAAAAAAAATGAGGAAAAGCGCTGCTAAAGGGGGGTAATAGACAGCGCTTTTACCAAGCGCTGTCTAAAGTGATTGAAAAAAAAGCGCTGTCTATACCTTTAGCAGCGGAGGTTTTAGCAGCGCTTTTAAGCGCTGTTAAAGGCCTAAAAAAGCGCTGTCTAATCCCTTGTTTGGCATAGTGTATATATATATATACTATATGTTATTAAATAATTAGAACAAGAAAAACCCAAAATAATATATTTTTATTATTATTAATATTTTATACTAAAAATACCTTTTCTTCAATATACTTCTATTTTTGTACAAATTGATACATTATTGTATATAAATAATAAATAATACTATTTATTTAAGAAATTAGGGTTTTTGCCCTAAAAAACAAAAAAAAAAGGGAAATTGACTTTTTATTTATTTACATTTCACATAAAAATACTTTTTACATACATAAAAACTTTTTGCATAATACACTTTATTTAATATTTATTTATTGTATTTATTTAAATATTGTGCATTTAATTTTTATGCCTTATACATTCAATTTGATTGTAATAATTTAGAATTTAATTTCTGGTCAAAATAATCCCCAATTCAAATTTGTACCCCCTTTCCTATATCATGTTGTAATAGTGTAGAATTTAAATTCTCGCACCTTTAAATGATTTCAATTATGCCATTGTTAGACTTAGGGTTTGTATATAAAATCAAATTAACAAATAGTTTGACCTAATCAAAGATAAAAATGCATGAAAAACAAACCCAATGCACACTTGCACCCCTAGGGTTTCAATCCACTTGTTGCCTTCAAAAATGGGCCATGATATGCATGTCAAGTACTTTGGTAAAACAAAAACAAAATAAAGATCATAGTCCCTCGATGACGATATCTGAGTTGCCTAAACAAAATGATCAAGTCCCTCAAGAAAATTGCTAAAATACTTGACACAATTGTTATCATGGTCTATACGATGACCCGCGTCTGTCCCGTTTAACATCCTAACACAAGGTTGTTCACCAAATACAATGGTGAAACAATATTGTTAAAAGGGTTAAAAATATAAGAAAGATCTTTGAGTAAAATAGGGTAGACAACTCTTAGTTACTTGATCAAAACTTGCAAAAACAATCCTTGCTATCTTCAAAACACACTTCACAACATAATTTCAAAACCCTACTTTCAAACATTGAAAACTTTTCAAAAGACAAAAACAACTTTGTATACATTCAAACAAGAATCATTACAAAGGTTGCCACAACGATGGCCTCTTTTCAAAACATTTCTCGAAACCACACACAAAGCACCATTTCAAACAATTGAAGAGCACCATTTCAAACAATTGAAAAGCAAAGCAAGTGATCTAAGAAAGTAACTAAGAGCCCATGGATAACCATGGATAGAAAGGGTGCTAATACCTTCCCTTTCTATAATCTACTCCCCGAACCCAAGAAAACATCTCAAAGGTCTTTCCTGTGCTTTTTGACCTTTCCTTTAGATAAAATAAAAAGTCGATGGCGACTCTTGCTAAACCGAAACATTTGCGAACACAAAATGCAAAATCCCAAGTCAGTTCTCCCACCGTATCACAGAACTGGAGACTCTGCTGGGGAATATCTTAAAAGTGGAGTAACCTTAGGGCTTAGATCACCCTTTGCATGATTATATTATTTGCCTTGATTGCTTTACATTTGGTTCTCTTGTTTGGGCTTGAAATCCTCTACCCGAATTTGGGAAACATTCATAGGTAAATAGCAATACGTTGTGGAAACTGTGCAGGATATACTGACATGGTTGAAGCAATAGCTATATTAGTACGACATATTTGTGAGTAACGGTAGCCTTTGAGTCAATCAAAGAAAATACGGGGCCGCTGAGTGATGTCATAAAGCACTAATGAACTCTTAGAACCTTACTTGACCATCTTGGCCTTTTATTAGGGGTAGTGAGATGACCGGCTTTGGTGCAGTCCGAAGTTAGTAGATACTCGATACTACACTCATTGAGGGTTGTTTTCTTGGAGTATTTTGGTCGCTAGTTAAATGGCTAAACCAAAACAATGAACATAGAAAACAATCTAGTGATATTGAGCTCCTTAGAACCCGGTTACTATTTATAGGACAGGTTTGAGCCAACTAAACTCAAGAGGGTATTTACCTATGAAACCTCATGCAAGCCTGAAACTAGGGCTTTGTGTGACTTTCCTGTACATGTGTTTGTGCATACATCATGAACATCATAAAGCATCATATGCATCCACTAACCCTTTCAAGGGTTTGGATCTTCATCTTTGTTCTTGTTTTGTAGGTCATGGAATCTCTTCGCAGGAAAACAATTCAAGTCAACCTTGTGAGAATCCCTCCTCAACTCAAGGAGCTTACATCCAGGATTCCAGAGAATTCTCTCTTTAGTGAAAGACATGGTAGACTCCTCAACTTGGTCAACACCAAAATTGAAGAAGACATGGTGAAAGTTCTCTTCCAGTTCTTTGACCCCCTACACCATTGTTTCACATTCCCTGATTATCAGTTAGTACCCACTTTGGAGGAATTTTCTCAACTCCTGAGGATTCCTATTCTTCACCAACTACCCTACAACGGTACGGAAAAAGAACCAAAGCCTGAAGATGTTGCTCAAGCATTACACTTGCAACCATCTGACATCAAGGGACATTGGGAAACCAGAAGTGGTGTCAAGGGTTTCTTGGAAAAGTTTCTGTTTGAGAAGGAACAAGACTGCTGGAATTCTCTTGATCTATAAGCCTTTGAAGAGATTGTGGCACTCCTTATCTATGGGTTGGTCCTGTTCCCAAACTCGGATCAACTTATAGATGTGAATGCTGTCAAGATCTTCATATCCAGGAATCCTATACCCATATTGCTTGGGGACATCCTACACTCATTTTACACACGAACAATGAGGAAAAGAGGTGTTCTCATGTGTTGTACTCCTCTCCTAGCAAGGTGTTTTATTTCTCACCTTCCACAATCAGTTTTGAAGAATGAGCAGGGTTTAAGGTGGTCACAACGATTGATGACCCTCACACATTCTGATGTTCATTGGTGTTCTCAGTCCAGAGAAAATGTCATCATCATTGATCGTTGTGGGGAATTCCCTAATGTCCCACACTTGGCATTAGGGGAGGCATTACCTACAACCCCTGTCTAGCTTTGAGACAATTTGGATATGCTCGGAGGGATGGCCCTCATGACATGCTGATTCCTGACCTAGTTTTTGACTTCGACGACGATGTGCAAGGACTTCGACAAAGGTTCATCAGGGCTTGGAGGATGCCCAACAAAGTGGATAGTAAGACACTGGGGCACAAGAATTCCATCCCCCTTGAGCCTTATCTCAAGTGGGTACGAACCCGTTCCCAGAATCTTATGATGCCATACCCTCACATTCTCCCCTTGATCAAAGAGCCTGTTGCGGAAGGAGAGGTTCCATACACCATCCTACATCCTGACATGCCAACATCATGGGAAGAAATGCAAAAGAGTTGGATCCAACTCAAGGAAGAACAGAATACTTTTGAAGCCAGCTTTTATGCTAGTGAGAAGAAGGTTTTGGAGCTTACCCGCCGACTTCATGAGGAGGAAACTCTCAACACTTACATCGCACCAAAGAGGATGCACAATGTCTTTTTACATTAAGAATTTTGTAATATTTTGCCCATGGGGCACTTATGTACTAACAATTTCTTCTTAATATAACGTGTGTTCCTTTTTGTTTGCAACAAATTTGAATTTCTGAATCCTTGAACGCATTACATGAATAACATACCATTCATCATATGCATAAACAGGTCTTCACACCAGGTTTCCTTATCTTTCTACTGTTTATTTCAGCAAGATGGATTTGGAGCAGACGGTCAAAGATCTGCAGGAACAAAATTCACAATTCCAGCAACTCCTCATGACCTTGGCAAAGGGTCAAGAGGACCTCAAAGCTCTGTTGGAGAAGAATAAAGAGAAAAAGAAGAAGAGGCTCGGAGTAGCCACTTCTGGAAGAAGGTTTGAAAGCAATACCAGAAAGGTTCTCGAGTTCCCCTCAACGTCTGACGAAGGGGCTGGTAAAGGGAAAGGGGTTGTTGTACCGTCTGAATATGAAGTTGAAGAGGAGGAAGAGGAAGAAGACGAAGACTATTCCGAACAACAGTATCCCCCAGTGGATGATAAATATAAGAATCTTGAGGATAGATTGGAAGCCATGGAATTGCAGAGGGTCCCTAGTTTGGATTTTGAAGAACTAGGGCTGGTAGCTGGGATTGTTATCCCTCCCAAGTTCAAGGTGCAAAC